AGGTTTCGGGGAAGGTGAGTTGTGTACTTGCGGTGAAAGTAAGATTCAGGGTTTTCAGATGACTTGTTCGAATTGTATTTCAGGAAGAGAGTTCGTGGAAGAGAACAAGAAGAAGAGTAGGGAAGAAACCGAAGGAGAGCAGAGTATGTACACCCAACAAGAACACGAACAAGTGGAGGAGCTGGCGAACAAGCTGTATCAGAGTAAGCAGTATCAACTTCATGAAGCGGAAAGCCTCCTGGAACATGTGAGCCGGATGAACCATGGAGCTCAACGACGTATGGCATCTAGTGACGTTTCAGGATATGCGACCTTCGGCATGTACTCACATGGTAATCACTACGGTGTGACTCGGAAAACGGACGAACTTCCCCATACGACCCGATACTTCAACGCGTTCCTGAAGCATCACTTACCCAAAGGCAGTCATTGGACCTCGTTCGTGTTGAGTTGTAATGCTAGACTTCCGATACACCGAGATGTTCACAATGATAGTCAGTACCCCAACCACCTGATGGGGATGGGAACCTATACTGGGGGCGAGCTTTGGTTGGAAGCTCCCCCCGGATATGAGGGTCAAGACAAACTGCTTCAGGAATCGATCGATGGGCGCACCATCGTGGGGCGCAAGATCCCTACAAAAGGACAACATGTGGAGTTTTCTCCACAGGCGTGGCACGGGACGTGCCATTGGAAAGGGAAGCGATTGATGATTTCAGCCTATGTAAGCCGAGGGCACTTGTTGGTTCAGGACGGGATGAGGGAAGAACTTTGTCAGAAGGGTTTTTCGTGTCCTAGGTACCCAGACGAAGTTGTTGAACAGGGTTTAGCTTTACAGGGGAGAAAGACTGGAGTGTGGAACAGGCCCATGAATAGCAGCCCCAAAGTCCAGAACCAACAACAACAAGATGAACGAATCAAAAAGAATCTGTACCTTCTTCATGCGGCGACGGGTCATGGCAGTGTTCGTCATCTTGTAGATGCTTTACGGCGACGAGGAGCTTCTAGTAGAGTTTTGGAAATGGCAAAGCAGTTCCAGTGCTCTGTGTGCCAGGAGAGGCGCAAAGTAGGACACCGACATTTAGCCTCACTTGAACCCCTTCCGCCCCGTTGGAGCACGATTTCGGCGGATGTAGGACACTGGACGCACCCCAAAACTCACGAGAAGGCCCAGTTTATGATCGTGATAGACGAGAACTCCCGATTCAGAACCGCCCGAATCCTGACCCGTGGTTCCAAACAGCAACCCACGGCCGCGGCTTGTTTAGAGTACCTTCAGGAGGGATGGATGCAGTACTTTGGTAGGCCACACACCCTGAGACTTGATCCGGCAGGTTCGTTTCGAAGCCAAACCGTTGAAAGTTTCTGCGATAGACATGGGATCTATTTGGAAATTATCCCGGGAGAGGCGCATTGGAAACTGGGGATCTGTGAACAGGCAGTTCAGGGAGTGAAAGAGGTGATGGGAAAACTCTGTGATGATGATCCGAGTTTGAGCATGGAAGAAGTGTTGGCGCTGGCGGTGATGACCTTTAATCAACGGGAATCGGTGCGGGGTTTCTCACCAGTGCAGCATGCCTTAGGACACAACCCTGACCAAACTGGCCCCATCTTGGACAACATGAACCAGGCTCCAATCAAACAGTTGTGGGAGGACCCCCAAGGCGACTTCGAAAGAGCCGCTAAGCTAAGGGCTAAGGCTGAGAGCGCGCATTCATCATGGGTTGCACAACAACGTATTATTCGGGCTCAAAACTCCAGAGTACAGAACCCACTGGACTATCAACCAGGAGAGCTTGTGTTCTTCTGGCGAGCGCAGGTGGGACAGCAGGGACGTAGGCAACCAGGGGATAAGCATGGGCGTTTTGTTGGGCCAGCACGTATATTGGCGACCGAGCGGAAGCGAGAACCCGACGGCAGCCTAGTACCTGGTAGCTCAGTTTGGCTTGTGCGTGGAAGAAGCTTGATTAAGTGTTGTCCGGAACAGATCCGACGAGCGTCGGAACGAGAGCAGCTTGTTGAGTCTCTGGCTTCCCCAGAGCAACGGACACCTTGGAATTTCACGCGTGTGGCATCCGAGATCGGGGGTAACCAGTATCAAGACGTATCTTCAGACAAGCCGACCAATCGGGAGTGGCTTAGAGCACAAGACCCAGGCGAGGAGCAGCAACCATCGAGGCATCGTATCCGTGGGAAGCGACCCGCTCCTGAAGGAGTGGACATGGGCGAGGAAGAAGATGAAGACACAGCCATGCCAGCAACCAGCTCGCGCAGCCCGAGAGCACAGAGGCAGAAAGGTAGTGGTTTTCAGGCAGCTCAAGCTTGGTGGACAGAAGTACCAGAACGACTCTGGGAACCTACTTCCTCGGCCTATTGGGCGAACGATACAGCCGCGGTGGCTGTGGAGATTGACCTACCTCATAACGCACGTGGCCTAGAGAAGACCCTACACAACTTGCCAGCTTTCTTTGTGGGAGCTATGAAGCGTCGGGCAGTGGAGGTCTGCGAGCGAAAACTAACAGAAGAGGACAAGGAGAAGTTCCGCGCGGCAAAGACCATTGAGGTTCGCAACTTCATCGCAGCGAAGGCGTTTGAGACACTACCGGAGGAGATGAAGCCCAGCCGTGACCAGGCAATCAATATGCGGTGGATTCTGACGTGGAAGGCGACAGACGATGGAGGCCGCAAGGCCAAGGCGCGAGCGGTTTTACTTGGATATCAGGACCCGAAGTACGAACACCGTGCCACTACGGCACCTGTTATGACACGACAGACGCGACAAATGCAACTGCAATTGACGACCGTACATGGATGGACAGTGCAGAAGGGAGACGTGTCAGGGGCGTTCTTACAGGGAAGAGAATACCCGGATCAGTTGTTTTGCGTGCCGTGCAAAGAAATTTGTGAAGCTATGGGTATTCCGGAAAATACCATCACTCGCTTGAAGCGAGCCTGCTACGGGCTAGTGGACGCACCACTGGAGTGGTACCGTACAGTGGACGCTTACCTCCAAGAGTTGGGACTGGAGCGTACCCACTCTGACGCCTGTGCCTGGGTGTGGCGGCCTCAAGGAAGGCTGCGAGGCATGATTTCAGGACATGTAGATGATTTTCTGTTTAGTGGCGGCTCCCAGGACAAAGAGTGGCAAGACATCTTGGAAAAGATCAAACAGCGGTTTCAGTGGGGTGATTGGGATACGGACAAATTTTTTCAGTGTGGCGTGCAAGTTGAGCGTACTTCAGAAGGTTTTCTTCTCAGTCAACCCAGATACATGGAAGGGATACAAGAGATCCCCATCTCCTCCAGTAGGAGAAAGGAGAAGGACACCGCAACGACGGAGCGAGAGCGTACGCAATTGCGTGCGCTACTGGGCGGCCCATCTTGGCACGCTCAACAGGTGGCACCCCACCTGTCCGCTGAGGTGAGCCTACTGCTTTCGGAAGTGCCGGAAAGCACAGTGGAGACGATAATCAAGGCGAACCTTCTCGCCTACCATGCCAAGGGCCGAAAAGACCACCAGTTGATAATACATCAATTCAGTCCTGAGGAACCTTTGGCACTCTTCGGTTGGGTTGATGCGGCGAGTCAGAACCGGAGAGATGGAGGGTCAACGCAAGGGATCTTTATAGGACTAGGACCGGCAAGCATGTTGACTGGTGACTTAGGCAAGGTCACGCCTGTGGCGTGGCACTCGAACCGCATTGATCGGGCATGCCGATCCCCAGGAGCAGCAGAAGCACAGGCTGCCATAAACGGTGAGGACGCATTGTACTTTGCACGTTACCAGTGGAGTGAGCTCGTACATGGTAGACCTGAGGTCCGTGATCCGGATGCGGCTGTTGCTAAGGTGACTGGATGTTTGGTCACTGACTCACGGAACGTGTACGATAAATTAGAGACTGAGGTGCTTGTCATCAAGGGTGCAGAGAAGAGAACGAATATCGAACTCCTCTCGTTGAAAGAGGCGCAACGACATCATGGTCTTCTTATGCGATGGGTACACTCCGAAGCTCAATTAGCAAATGCGCTTACGAAGCACAACAGCAAAGAGATGGAGCTGTACTACCGGACCCGCCACATGTGGCGGATCGTTGAGGACCCTGAGAGAATGTCGGCTCGCAGACGCAAGCAAGCTGGCATCGAACCACTTAGTTCGGGAATGGAAAAATCAGGTTGATGGATTCTTAGCTTCTCTCGGGGAGGCGGAGGAACCGGGGCATGCAGGTGAAACCTGTCTGCTCCGTCTCTTGCAGGACTCAGCAGTGCAAGAGTGCGATAACGAAGCTTTGTGAATCGAGGTGACGCAAAAGGGCGTGCCAGCAGGAGTGCCCCTAGAGCTCTGTAGGGACCGAGCCATCGTTAACTCCTCGTGGCAACACCATCACGTGTAGCAGCTTGGGCAGATTATCCATTGGACCGTGCAAGTGCCTCAACCACTTGCAGACCCTAAACCCCAAACCCTAAACCCTAGACCCTAAACCCCAAAAACCTGAACCCTGGACCCTAAACCCCAAACCCTAAACCCCAAACCCTAAACCCTGGACCCTACACCCCAAACCCTAAACCCTAGACCCTAACCCCAAACCCTAACCTTAAGGTTGTTGTCGTGTTTGGGGATCCTGTCGGATAGTGCTCGTGGTGGTTGACAGCCTGCGCCAGGCTCCAGAGCCCCTTTTTCTCCCGCGTTTTCGCCAAGAAATCCATGAACAAAAAAACCATGAGGGTTTGGGGTTTGGGGGTTTAGGGTTCCTTGAAAGTTAGTGTATGTATGTACGTCTGCAAGTATATGTATGTATATATGTGTGTAGGTATATTCATGCACATGTATATTGAAGCCTTACTGCAGTTCCTGCATAGCAACTGTAGGGTTACTCGGACCCTTCAAAAAAGTGACCTGTCAATCAGGCTCGCATTGCCCTACACCCTAGCCCTAAACCCTACACACTTAACCCCAAACGCGGAACCCCAAACTGTAAACCCTGAACGCTTGAGTCATCGAGATGGTGAGCGTCTGGAGGGCATCGGGTGCGCGGCTGGTCACGATTCCCCTGGAGGAGTTGTCGGATGTCCTGACGTTAAAGAGGTGGGTAGTTGTCAAATTTACGGTCCCTTTTTGGGGTACCCTAAATAATAGGTGCCGTCTTATGGTAGGGACCCCCAAAAAGGGCCATAATTTTGACAACCGCCCAGGTATCTACAAGGGATCTGTGGGCTGCCGCGATTCCAGCAGAGGCTCCTTCATGACGGCATGGATTTGAAGGACAGTTTCAAGTTCCACTCGCCCATGGACGTGCAGTTGGTCCTGCTGCCCCTGTCGGATGCATCAGAATCAGAGAGGCGAGAGCTTTTGGATGCAGTTGGAAGCGTACAGGTGCTGGAAATCGAGAAGATCTTGCAGCGGCCACAAGATCCAAACCTCGCCGACTTCAGTGGAGGGGTTCCGAAAACAACGGATCGCTTTGGGGTCCCTTTTTCGTTCTGGTAAAGACAATTTCCGATTCTTTTTGCGGCAGTACATGAGGGATGCTGTTTTTTCTGACAGCCTCAGGTGGAAACACGCCACTCGCTCGGGCAGCCATGCAAGGTAACCTGGACATTATGCGTTTACTGCTAGAAGCCAGTGCTTCGACCAATGCTTTATCTGGCCCACCCGACTGGACTCCTCTTCATTCTGCTTCACTGAACGGTCATGTCGAGGGTGTGTCCTTGTTGCTGCAGTTTCGGGCCGACATGAACTTGCGGATACGCAATGGTGCTACAGCTCTTCATGTTGCTTCAGTCCTGGGCCAACCTGAGATTGCAAGCCTTTTGCTCGAGGCTGGGGCACCGAAGAACTCGCAGCTGGACAACGGCATGACGCCACTCCACGTAGCTTCAGCTCATGGACACTCAGAGGTGGTCCGTGTGCTCCTGAAAGCCCGGGTGGACCTGACTTCAAACCAACGCAAAGGCAGGACAGCCCTCCATTCGGCGGCCAAGAAGGGCCATGTTCTAGTTGTGCAAATGTTGCTGGAGGCAGGACTTGAGAATCAGCCTCTAAACCCCCCCCCCCCCCCCAATAATGGCACCCTCATAGCCTATATAGCTTCATTGTACAGAAGTAGCCCTGTAGTAAGCCTTATAATCACCTATACTGCCTATACTGTAACCCCTATAATAACCCAAAAACTTACTTAGCCTATTGGAGAACTTTAAAATTTTTGGCTTCATATATTTGGTCTAGCTTAAAAAGTTCGAACTTTGTTTGGGCCTGGTTATTGGAGAATAGAGAAAAAGCAACCCGGAGGCCGGATTTGAGAAGGAGGTGCCGCAGAAAGACGGTTCCACGGCTCTCCACATCGCCTCGAAGCACGGCCAGGCTGAGGTGCGTCGACTGCTTTCGGGACTCCCAAACCCCTAAACCCCAAACACCTCAACACCTAAACCCCTGAACCCCTAAACCCCTAAACCCTTAAACCCTAAACCCCAAACCTCTAAACCCCTAAACCCCAAACCCCAAGCCCCTAAACCCCAAACCCCTAAACACTAAACCCCTAAACCCTAAACCCCAAACCTCTAAACCCCTAAACCCCAAACCCCAAGCCCCTAAACCCCAAACCCCTAAACACTAAACCCCTAAACCCTAAACCCCAAACCTCTAAACCCCTAAACCCCAAACCCCAAGCCCCTAAACCCCAAACCCCTAAACACTAAACCCCTAAACCCTAAACCCCAAACCTCTAAATCCCTAAACCCCAAACCTCTAAACCCTAAACCCCTAAACACTAAACCCTAAGCCCCTAAACCCTTAACCCCTAAACCCCTAAACACCCTAAGTCCCTCTCAGTAGTTTGTGCTGAGGTGGTTCGACTGCTTTTGGGACTCCGGGCCCACCCGAACTTGCGCCAGCTGGCGGGCGACTTGGCTGGTGATCAGTGTTTTAGGGTTTAGGGTTTAGGGGTTTAGGGTTTAGGGTTTAAGGTTTAGGGTTTAGGGTTTAGGGTTTAGGGTTTAGGGGTTTAGGGTTTAGGGTTTAGGGTTTAGGGCGGACGACTTGCAGAGTGGAACGGGGATCGTTTGACCCGTTTGTGGCTTGGGATTTGGGATTTCTACCGTTTTACCCTATACTGTAGCACAGAATCCCTGAAGAAGCACCCTTCCTTCTTTTCATTAGCTTAACCCTTATAAGCCTTCCAAACACCGAAAAGCATCCTTGTTTCTTTCCTTCCTAAGAGAGACGGGACGATTTACCCTATAACCGTTTTGCCTTATACCCCAGAAGCCCTGAAAAGCATCACCGTTTCTGTCCTTAAAGGGTTCAGGGTTTTTCTTTCCTTCCTTAACTATAGTCTCCTTAGGAATTATTTTTAAGTTGTGTTCATATAAAACCCAAGAGAATATTAAGAACATTATTTTCATTATGGTTCTAAAATGATCATACCTATAGTCTCCATTGTAGTTCCTTTTTTTGGTTAACCAAACTCTCTATTATAGGATCCTAACCATAAGCTGGTTAACCAAAAAAGGAACTACAGTGGAGACTATAGGTATTTTTTAAAGGGACGAAGGCAAGACGGCGCTCCATTTCGCCTCACGGCGCGGCCATGTGGACGTGGCGCGCTCGCTGCTGGAGGCCGGCAGACCAAAGAGGACCACATCTTTTTTTTAAACATAGGGTTTAGGGGTCTATTTTTTAAAAAATAGGGTTTAGGGGTCTATGGATGTTTATTTGGGGTTTAGGGGTTCATGGATTAAACAGGGTTTAGGGGTGTATGGATGTTTAAGTAGGGTTTAGGGATGTAGATTTAGGGTTTAGGGGTTTAGGGTTAAGAGGACCACGTGTATAAGTAGATCTTCGGTTGTAGGGCTTTCTAGATGCTTCAACCGTAGATTTAGCTCCCTATTAACCCGACGCATGAAGAGCTCCTGGACCCAAATTTGCAACGCCGAACCCTAAGCCACCAACTACACCCGAAAGGAAACTTAAGATTCTTCCTTTTCTGTGCTAAACCCTAAACCCTAACCCCTAAACCCTAAATCCTAAACTCTAAACTCTAAACCCCTTTCTGTGCTCTGAGGCGGGCTCCGAGAAAGAAGGCGTCCTAGCGGCCTCGGCAGCAGGTCACGTGGAGGTGGAGTTTCCGAAGAGTTAAATTATAGGGGATACCGTATTTGTCGGGTGTAGGGGTTTAGGGTTTGGGGTCCTTATAATGAGGATCCTACTGTTTAGAGTACTATATTAGGGTCCCCGATTTTCGGAATCTCCAGGTGGTACGTTTGCTGTACGAGTTCAAGGCAGATGAGCGCCTCCGACCCACTGGGGTGGTGGCTCTTCAACTGGCCTATCTGGTGAAAGCTGCCAAGAAGTACTGCTCGTGCTGCTGGCCCTCAATTTTGCCGAGTCGGAGGAGAAGGGGTCGGATAAGGAGGGCTTGAGATTGTGGTCCCAGTGCAGAAGCGGACCGCCTCAAGACGTACAGCACCTGCAAAGCTGCAAATGAATGTCTGTGCCTGCCTTGATGAGGATTGGCGTTCGGGTGGGTTTTCAGCCCGCATGCTGTGTCTCTTCCCCATGTAACATAGGGGCCTAAAAGTAATTACCAATACTATCTTGGGGGTTCCTTGTTATAGCTATAGTATAAGGCCCCAAACGCTGTTCAAATTATTAAGACTCCTTATGTAATTATTAAGACCCCTATATTACGTCTCTTTCCCCTTGTGCCCAAGCCCACTTCGTAGCTCTGGGGAAGATCTTTGGTCGAATCTCTCCCTCGGAGCAGGTGGTGCCCCTTAGCTGCACCGGCGCCGTGGAGGCCAGGAACGTCCCAGGGGGTCCCAGCATGTCTGAGTCTGAGGCCTTGTCCTGCAGACAGAGGATGACAGCGGTCCAAACTGTGTCCTGTATCGCCTGTATCCATCCGAAACATAGGAGTGACTTTCTTTTTGTCCAGGACACTATGTCTATAGTGTTTGGCTTGCTGACCGTTGCGCAGGCACTTCTGTCCGCTGGCGCTCCCCAGACAAGGCACGATTTAGCAAGCTTCTGTGTCACAAGTGGCTTGGCAAGGCTTGGTACCGACCCTAAGCGTCCATGTACATATGAAGCCTCGGTGTATACTGCATAGGTATGTGGGCCCTCAAACTTCCTTAAACCCCCTACCCGAGGAGTCCAATGCCCCTTGACACAGTTTGGGGGTTGTGAATGTGACAGAAACACATCAATTTATATACCTATATATATATATATATATATACATACATATATATATATATATATGTCTTTCAGGATTTGGAGAGTTGGGGCTTAGGAGTTGGATTTTTGTGCTGAAGGAAAGCCAAAAGACACCAATTTGGCCAATCAGCCGATTACAGGTTCGTGCTCGAAACCTCAACTGCAAGCTCGTAGTTGGAGCAGTTCATAATGATTCGGTACTTGGACCCGTAAGCAAAGCCCTATTCCTGGAAGGTGCTCCTCTGCCGCGAACTCAACTCTCCAAGTGTGTTGTCGATGTCCGATGCATGCATGGAGCTTAGGGTTTAGGGTTTGCAGAGGTTTAGCGTTGGGCTTTTGACCATTGGATGAAGGACGGAAGAGCTGGAATCAAGCGTTTGACACCATAGATCACATCGGGAGGGGCCAAGTTGAGGCTACCATCAATCCGTAGGGTTCACCATCTTAAACACGTGGTAATAACCCCAAACCCTATTCTGATTTTTCAGTGTAGGCCCCTACATGAAACCCGCCGCGTCTCGAATGCGGAATTGCGGTTCTCGCGTATACTCAAGCAACACCTGCTGAGGAAGAGCCTGCAGTGCCACATCAAAGTCAACTGCAAAGCCCTACTCGCTAAATCCGAAACAAAGTCGAGATCCCCCAACAAAAGAATTTCTTGTTCGACAAAGGTTTCAGCGTTGAATTGTTGAATCAGGCAAAAACTCCAAACTCCACCAAAGCCGTAACCCTCTCCCAAGCAAAAAGGGCGTTAGGCTCGGGGGAAATAGGCAGCAGGCTTCATTCGATTTAGCTAGGCAGGGTTTAGGGCCTCATAAAATAGGTTTGCCACCTTCTCCCCTGAACAATGAGCTTGTTATCTGCCAGAAGGCTTTACAGTCTTAAAGCTCGAAACTCTGCAAGCAATATGGCTTCCTTATTGTTGTAACTTAAACTAAATCCCTTAAGCCCTAAACCCCCTATAGAAGCCTTAAAGGAACCCTAAACTATGGTAATTCACAAAGACATGGACTTGGAAGCCATCCCGGCTGCGAAGTCCAAGCTCCCAGGTCCAAAAAGAGACTTAGCCACTTGAATTCCAAGCCGCAGCCGCCTAAATCCTAAACTTTCTAAACCGTCTAAACTCGAAACCCCAAACCCCGCAAACCCCGTAACTGCACCAGTAGCCCCAAACCCTACAACACCCCCTGTATTTGGGGTGAAGCCTCCCATTGCAGTAGTTGTTAGTGAGTCCACCGTCTTAAATTCGAGCCTAAACCCTCAACCAAAAGAAGGTGAGAAAGCCCTGTACTCGAATCTGTCAGGTGCTTGCCTTTCTCAAAACACGCGTAGACACAGAAATCTATCAGCTACGTCCTACGCTCGAGCTTTGGGTTTCGGCTTGTTCAGGATCCGGAGTGTCGGTCTCGTGGCTTAGAGTAGAGATTACCTGGACCCCAAATAACCTACCTTTCTAGGGTTCCATAGTATGATTTCTTTATATAAGTCCTTTAACAGGTAGGGTATTTGGGGTTAAGGTAGGGCTTAGAGTTGAGGGGTTAGGATTGAGAGTTCAGGCGATCGCGCTTTGTGCAGCTAAACCTATCCAGTCCTTCCCAAAGGGTCCTATGTAGCGATATAGTAGAATGTAGGGTTTCCATATTAGGAATGACTATAATGACTTAGGGACGCATTCCCCATAACAGTACATAGGACCCTTTGGGCTTGAAGCGGCAAGCCCAGGCCAGCGCCGATTCCTGGCCAAGCCCCGAGTGACTGCCTTTAATCGTTCCGAGGGTTTCGGGTTTATCAGTGTCCAGGGTTTATCGTTTCTAAGGGCCCTAAACCCTAAACCCTGAACCCTAAACCCTGAACCCTAAACGTTCGCTGCAAGAAGGGGCTGTGCCAGGTGTTGTAACAGGGTTGAGTTTTACAGTGGCTCTTGCAGAGTTCAGGGTTGTTGAGCTTCAGGGTCGTAGGGTTGGGGTTGAGGTGTTCGGATGCGACTTACGAGTTGAAGTTATACATGTGGTTCAAGTTCGGAGCTTTCGATTTGCGTCTAGAGTCTAGTGATAGAGCTCCAACATTTCAGAACCGTGACATAGAGGTCGGAACAATTTATAACCACTGTATCCTTTTCGCTCTACAAAATTATACAGCGAGAAACCCGCAAATCCTGCTAAGCTAATACAGGGGTCTTACTAATTAGAGTAGGGTTTAGGGGTATGGTGTACCATAACTATAAAAACCCTCTTGTAATCGTTATGGCCCCTACATTATGCACCTTCCCCCGCAGGTCAGCCAGTTCTTGGCGGCCCCTTTTTTCTTCTCTGAATACCAGGAGTTAAGAACCCAGAAAGCACATAAGCATAAGCATTTTATGGGGATATCCCTACCTTATTGGGCTTCATTGTAAGGAGATTTATATGGGATATCCCTACCCTAATGTTTGCTTATGTGCTTTTTTGGGGCCCTATAGGAGGGAACTCCCAATCTGGGGGTACATAAGACTACACCTTGAAGCTTTCGGGATGTGGGAAGTTGTCAAAATTAGGGTCCCTTCTTGAGTACCCTAGATAATAGGCGCCGTATTATATTAGGGTCCCAAAAAAACAACCACCCATGTAGGGGGTCCAGGAGGTGAGGTTTTCAGGTTTACTTGCCCTCGTCGTGAGGTTCAACCGCAAAATCTCCGCAAAATCTCAGACTCTGCAGCTTAGACCTACGCCCAAAGGGCCTCGGAAAGTAGTCTGCGGATGAGGGTTCAGGGTTTAGGAATGAGGGTCTACGAGCCTTATCGTTCAGAGTTTGAGGTTTGTCAGGGGTTTTGGAGAACACTAGGGTCAGTGTTCAGGCAACTATTCTTATAATTACGTATAACCCCAATTACTGTACTTATAACCATACTTACTAAGTCCCATGACCACCTTCACAGCTGTGACTGTGAGGTCGACCCCGGTGCCACAGCCACATGCCCGGGCCCACAGCTGGCAGACCGACATGGGTGGTCGTCAATATTGGAGTCCCTTGTTGCGTACCGTACTATAATAGGGACCAAAAAAGGGACCATAAATTTGACAACCACACACGTCAGTAGTGGCACTGGATAGTCGACTTATTGAAGATTTTGCTTCCGTTGTTGGTGTTCTCCGTGTTTCCGGCCAGGGTTGTCATTGGTGGTGGTCATCAGAGTTTGGTTGTCCCGGAGTGGGAATGATGCTTGTCACCTTAACAACCATAGTTGCAGACTCTCAGTGGAAGAGCTGTCTTGTGCCACCATGGTCCAATGTACCGTAAGTATCTGAACTAGACGCGGATGCCACTCCCAGCTAACTCCATTATCATCACCATCACCATTCCCATCGTCGTCGTCATCTTCGTTAGCACCATCACAGACATCAAGTTTGAGAGAACAGTGATACAGTAGCAGCGGAAACTGTGCATAGGAAAAGCTGCCGACCCGAGGCAAGAACCACAGTGCAGCTGCAGGCACAGGCCCTGCGGACCTGCAATTAGGGTTTAGGGTTTAGGGTTTTAGCCTATGGGGGTTTTAGTATGGATTAGGGTTCCCATAATCGTGTTCATATTGAGGAATCCCTACCCCAAGAATCTTAAACCCCGCTTTTGCCCTCCCATCGTGCAAAAGCAATCATGGCCCGAACGTGAAGACACCGCGGCTGTGGGCCTAAACCATCCTAAAACCTGAGAAGTTTGCAGGCTTCCATGGCTTCGAAAGAGCATCCACAAGTTTATGTAACTCAAAGTCACACAATCACAAAGCCCGAAACTTGCAAGCCCTGCCGCTCCCTACTTCGAGATCTGGGACTTAGAGAGTGCCTCGGCCACAACCTTCTTCGTTAAACCGCCCTTGCCTAGAGGCTCCAAATATAGTACCATTATGGAATTAGGTCCCCAAAGCCATGATATGGATGGTCTTTTGGGTCCTAATTCCATCATGGTACTATATAAGGAGCCTCTGGGTTGGTTTCTAGCTTATTCTGGGATTCTGGGTGTCGGACATATAGGGCTAGTGGTATAGCAGGTTAGAGTCGGGTGTAGGGTGTCGTGTATGAGGAGTCATGAGTCGTGCTGTGGTGCGATGGGTTTAGTGCGTAGAATCATCTAGACGTCGGCTTTGATGATACTGGTAGGGGTAAAAGCTGCAGGGTATACTGGATTTGGGGTTTTCAGTATAGACTTGTCAAACCGAGGAACCCAGAAACAC